GTGTAGTCTGGTCGATGTTAACCAACGTTTCAGAGGTCATACTGCCTCCGTCATCAGGGCGATGAGTATGAAGATTTCTGTCTTCTGGGTTGTTGCGCTGTGTAGTCTGGTCGATGTTAACCAATGTTTCAGAGGTCATACTGCCTCCGTCATCAGGGCGATGAAGATTTCCGTCTTCTGGGTTGTTGCGCTGTGTAGTCTGGTCGATGTTAACCAACGTTTCAGAGGTCATATTGCCTCCGTCATCAGGGCGATTCAACTTAAACGTTCGTTAACATCGACCAGACTATACAGCGCAACAACCCAGAAGACAGAAAGCTTCAACGTTTTTCATATTTATGCCAAATTTAACACACCTGTTCAGGCTATGAGGTCACATCTAATTCCAACTTCCACACTCTCACTGAGTCTGAATGACTCACACTGATTGGCTACTTGAATTGGCAACGTGACTGTGGATGGGTTCGTAAAGTGTTCTTCGTTTACCTGACGACATGGGGACAGATGAGCGTCATTTTATTTCTAGAGCCACCCACTGAACTGAAGACACATGAACTTTTACACTGCACTGTATGAGATCAAGAAATTTTGTACAAATTATATTTAAAATGTTATTTTCGTATTCCAAGATATCAATATGGCGCCGGCGCGAACTTTTGAAACTGTCTTTTAAACTCTAGCCTAGAGGAAGAAAGCGCGAGCAAGTAATTTCATTTGAAACCGCACTCACATATGCTATTATTATTACTCTAATGATGTAGTCTACTTATTCGTCAGATAAACTGTGGTGAACTGAAAATTAAATTCAAGTCTGAATACAAAAACTAATATCCATTTCGCTGAGAGGAGCGGTTTCAGAATTGTCACCTACTCCGGATGTATAATAATAAACTGTAAAATATCTTAACGCCCTGAATCGCTAATACAACGCATGAGCTATCTAATTAATTAAATTTATATTCAGTCTAAGAACCTGAATCAAATATCACACAGAATGTTGTGGTCGAATGATCCATTTCCATACCACAGCTTTAAACTGCGTAACGTCACGTAATATTCACAATGCACATATAGAAGTTTCAAGTTTAAAACTTTGCACAGGATGAATTTGCTCCACAACGCAAAAATTCTCCGTTGGGCCTGTATCTGATTGCACCCTGAATAACGGGGCTAAGCACAGCTTAAGTTTTATTCCAATTTCTAATGCCCTGTTAACAGGAGTAAAATCCTTAAAAATCGATGTGTTTATATTAACATTCAGTCAAGTCTGAGTGACTCGGCCAGAGGTCGCTGTGACTGTTTCCACTTGCAGCAGCCACGACTTGGCTGGCTCATTCCCTAATCCTTAAAAATCGATGTGTTTATATTAACATTCAGTCAAGTCTGAGTGACTCGGCCAGAGGTCGCTGTGACTGTTTCCACTTGCAGCAGCCACGACTTGGCTGGCTCATTCCCTGTGGTCCCTTCCCAGCCGTGGCTTCATGTAGGTGAGTGAAGTGATATTCGTATTTACGAAGCCACTAAACTTAATAATTTATAATGCCATAATATCTATTTCAACACAACAGGAAATCAATATTCCTATATCTATCAGAGTGAACTGCTTTGTAACATACATTCACTTATGCGTCATGTTATTTGGAAGTGATATTACAATATTTATATCCACTAATTTCAATCATTCGTGCATTCACTTAGTGAGTTATCTAAACAAAGACTGTGTCAGTTTAACATTTGATATTTGCGAAACGTAGCCCAATACGATTACTTCTAATGGCTACTTACTTACTTACTAATGGCTAATTACTTCTAATTCTCTTGGTACATCTACCCATTTAAGAAATAAACGCAATGCTGTTATAAGACCAGGGAAACACAAGAAACACATCATAGAACAAAACTAGTTTACATAAAAACTACAGCTTTTCTTCAACAAAATCTGCATTTAATACCAAGTGAGAAAGCAGACTGTATTGCATTCATGTTTATTTATAAATTAACTAGAGGCACGTATCTGCTTACGGAGGAATTATATTACTGATAACGAAACATTACAAAAAAAACATATTTATTATAGTCATCCTGTTGCGAATTATTAAAACATTCGACATTCTCGACTCCTTCTGATTGGTTTTCAATATATTCGTAAAAAAACTTGACAATAAGTGCTTCATTAACAGTCTCGGGACATCGCGTACAAATTTCGATCCTACTTATCATTGACTGGCATTCTTTGTAACAGCGGATGACATATCCCAAACGCGAGCCACGTACTGCTCTCTTAAGATCAAAAATTACTTATGTAATTCATACTAGCCAACCCTCTAACGTCGCATGCAATTAAGAGTTTAATGGTGTGGACAAACGATGAGCTGCACTGAAGACAACACAGGCCTATGAACAATAAAATATATAAACAAATAATATCGGAACATTCAGGTTTATTTTATCATCTCGTAACCACTTTGGCTATCTCTTATTAATAATCTCTTGGTAAATATGGAAGAGACAAGCCTACAAAAATCTGTGTTGGAACGATTTGGAAATAAAATTGTGCATAGAAAAAAAAGTTTGCATTTAACAAGGGCATTGCACCACATTTAACTCCTTGCAAATTTTGTATAGCGAACCTACTATCAAGCGAAATGGCCTCACGGCAGGTTTCTCGCTAAGTGAAACAAAATTGTTCTTCTTGTAATTCTGTAAACTACTCAGCTTGATTTTGTGTTACAGTCTGACTAATGGCGTGCATCAGTGATCTGCCAGATGAGATACTAGTGACTATATTCTCATACTTGGACGTCGATGACATCTGTCTCTCCGTAAGGAACGTCTGTCGTCAATGGAAGTCCGTTTCTGAGGATGATAGTGGACGTCGATGACATCTGTCTCTCCGTGAGGAACGTCTGTCGTCAATGGAGGTCCGTTTCTGAGGATGAAAAGGTGTGGATGAACATGTACTACTGCCCACGGAAAACGACGACAAAACAGGAGCTCATAAGCAAGTTGAAGACCATGCCATCACTGAGATACTTTGTATACACTGGAACTCACAATGTCCTTGGCACGATGTCTAAACATTGCACAAAGCTCAAAGACTTGCATATCCCCTACATGGAATTCCGTGCCAGACTTCTCAGAAAAGCTATTAGACATTTACATTATTTGGAAGGTCTCAGTGTTAGAATTACTAGCAGAACGGCCAGATTTACCCAAATTATTGGCGAATCACAACACCTGGTTAGACTGAGTTTGACCACAGGTGGTGGACTGCATACAACAGACCAATTGTTAGAACCTATAGCGAGCGGCTGTCGAAAGTTGAAAAAATTAAGATGTGCGTACTTAGACTGTCCGACCGAAGAATTGTGTCGTCTGTTACAACATAAGAAGCGTGTGCTCGAGGAATATGAACACTGCGGTCGCTTGTCTGCGGCCGTTTTCACGGCTATAAATGGGTGCAAGAAATTAAAGAAACTCAGATTTAACAGCATCAGCATTGAAGGTCCGTTTGATGAAACAATTTCCTTTGTCAAGCTGAAGTACTTGACACTAGTAGAATTCGCAGGTTGTCCGATCACAATGTTGAAGAGCGTAAGTCGAAGTTTAAGTATTGCTCCAGTTAGTTATTTAGAGCAGATTAATCTGTCTTTCTCAGACCACAAAATTGATTCAATTACGGATTCTGTTTTCCTGGCATGTCCATCTCTTAAACGACTCATTCTTGCGGGAAATATTAGACTCTGTGGATACGGACTTAGAAATATAAGAAACTGCAAAATGTTGGAGTACCTCGATATGAGGTACTGCTTAGACCTGGATTGGACGGCAATAAAGTACGTAGCTGAAGGCAGTCCCCGTCTTCAATACCTCGACTTGTCTGGCAATCACATAACACTGGCTATGTTTCAGCAAATTCTGAAGTGTAAGAACTTGAAAACACTGTTGCTGAAGGGTTGTGACTTACGTGGTTTTAATCTTCGACATATTAAAACACGTATTCCCGGTTTGAAACATCTCAAAATCGAATAGATAATCCCATATGAAACGACGTTGATACGTGACATTATGCAAGAAATGCCGCCATAGTTCTCAAACAAAGCTACGTCTTAATGTGAGTCAAAGTAATAGTCCACGGTTAACAAAACATTATTATGGGTAGTCAGTAAATAGAAGAAACTGTCTGATCGACACGCAACGTCAAATATCTGATGTGAGTAGATCAAAGGTCACATTCTTTTAGCTTTCACTGTACAAGTAATCAAGTTTACATCATGTTTACTTGTAAACAAAAAATTACATTTTAATTCGAATTTTTAAAAGTTGAAGGATGTACGCATTCTTCTTTGAGCCTTATGACGAATGAATAAATAATACTAGTAACAATTTCAAATTAACATCATCATTAATTTTATGCATTTTATAACGTCTTTTTAACGAAGTGTAATGTCTGTGATAAATATGTAATTGTAGATTTGTGACAAACATTATTCATTTCACACAGGACCTTGCTTATTTATTCCATGGAGCAGAGTCCTTCCTGAGAAGCGAGCAGTCTCTCAACCCCTCAATAAATTCCCAGTCACAAAGGACCTACTTAACAATGTTCACCTTCCTCTTGTTCAGCTCAAAACATTTTAATTGGAACTGCGCTACGATGTATTCAGGTGCGGATATAATATTTTGTTACTAGCGTGGTGCTTTTGAAATAACTTCGTAAGACAATGCATCATAATCGTACACGTGTACAGGTACACACAGAATAATAAGTATGGTCCGACTATGTATGTACAAGACTGTTAACACATTATTATAAGCACGCCTGTGTTACGTAATTATTTTGAACTGCTAAGATATCTTAATATTTCAACTAATTTTAATTATATACCTCTATTGTATTTTACTTTATAAGCAGTAAATATTTATACCACTGATGGTAGACCAGGTGGGCTCAAACATGTCGGGATCGAAATAAATCTTGTTGGTGGTTTTTCAAATAACATCGTCAAACGCAGGTCGGTTCAGTATTTTCGTGTCGTCTAACAGAAGTGATGTTTCAAAAGTCAATTTTCTGAATTCCCTTCCGTCCAGACTAACACTTCATTACACTTGGAACAAGCCGCTCTGTGTCTATTTAGACACTGACGTCTCTCTAGTATGTACCCCGACTCGCAGATGACTCTATCTGATGAGGCCCTACAATATCGCTCGAAACAGAAGCCAGCTTATTATGACAACCACGTGTCTCCACATAAAATATGTTGTGACAATGGCGTATTATTAAAATGACAAAAGTTTCTTGTTTCCGAAAGCTATATTATGATTCTGTAGTAAGATAGTTACCGTGGCTATCTCAGTAACCCAAAACGTTGTTTCTTATTAAAACGAAGACGATGGATAATGCCCAACACGTCTGTCACTGTAACATTCCTTCATGTCATAAAACATCCATCACGAGTTTCTCAGTAATACCACGTATATAAATCCCGAAAATGAAATTCTTCTGGATTAATGACGTCTTACCACAAATCAATACAGACTAGCCTCTTCTGGTTTATAAACACATCACCTGCAAAAAAAAACTACGCTGGATTCCAGATGGAATCAAAAGTGACACTGGGGACCGAAATCCGTGGGCGTTCTATCGCCGAAAAAATATTGTGAAATGATATATTCACAGACGATGATGCATGAATAGGAGGAGGAGGAGGCTAAAAGTGTCAGTGACCTCTGTGAAGAGATCCTGATGAAGACGTATGGAACCCTTTCATTCAATTCTCTCCCACACGCACAATTGAAACATGGCGGACGGAACCGATCACTTAATCATATGAATGACAAGATGTAACAAAACAGAATGAAGCTCATAGGTTTTGTAACGTCAACTTATCCTGAATGCAAGAACAACTATTAAAAACAACTCATACATACTTAATTTTGTTGGTCAAAACGGTTTGAGGATTATAAAAGTTATCATAATTAACTATTATGGGTTTAGAAATGTATACACGCACACGCAAATCGTTTAATCCTGGCAAGTGCGTATGAAAATGTAAACTATCCACATTAATGTCTCCCTATTACCTCCAGCACTCACCGGAAGTATCTTGGTACACTTGTACTTTTGTTTCAGTCTGATAAGTGGCAAGTAAACCGTACAGACTTTTAGAGACATCGGTAAACAGCATAAAATCCTTAAGTAATAAAAACTGTCCACGGATTTCATTTAACCACGCCAACTAATACTTCCTGTCGATCCTAAGAATAACTCGACCGTCAAGAGGAAATAAAAACCCTCACATTTAAGAACGCGAATTGCAGTTAAAATGTATTTAACATTTCCTGTTCCCTGAACAATAACACACGGACGATGTAAACGATTTCAAAATCAACGTGAATTTTGAGGTTCTCACGACGGCGAAGACGACACTCTCCTTCTGGTTTGTGACGCCGCGTAAACTCAGAGGTAGATGCCAAAGTTCCGGAGACACTACCGTCTCCATATTCAGTCCTTCACAAACTATAAATCTCATTAATGGTTTTCCTAAGAATCTAGATCTGAATCTCTTTAGCGATTTTGGTCACAACTATTTCCCTTCTCTCCCAGTCTCTCAATTCACTGTTTTAGGTTAGATATGATGTTCTCACGGCGACAAGTATGAAGATGTCTTCAGCCCTGAAGTTACAGACCCAATGTTTCTCCGAAACTCTGGTTATCTGCCCACGGGTCCACCAGAGTCGCAACCCAAAACATCGTCACCTTCACCGTTGTGTGAACCTCAAATCCCACTAACTAACTAACTAGATGGCTTACCGAACCCGAAGGTTCATCACCGAATTAACCAAAGTCCTCCACCGGACCCTGTCCTGGGCCAACAAAATCCAGTCTCCTTCAACTCCTATCTCCCATAGATCCCGCCTGAGATTATCCTCCCATCTACGTCTAGGTCTCCCCAGCGGTCTCTTCCCTTCAGGTTTCCCAACCAATACCCGGTGCACACGTCTTGTCCCATCCATGCGCGCTACATGCCCAGCCCATCTCATTCCTCTCGACTTAATCACCCTGACAATATTGGGGGAGGAGTACAGATTTTTAAGCTCGTCATTATGCAGTTTTCTCCACGCCCCATCGTCTTCCCTCTTAGGCCCAAATATCCTCCTCAACGCCTTATTCTCAAACACCTGCAATCTGTGTTCCTCCCTCTGAGTGAGAGATCATGTTCAAATCCCACATCTACAGTCTTATTTCAAAACACATGAACCAATGGACCTTTGGTCCAGATATAACTGTCGTTTACATTACACCGTCGATTTGATTTCTGAAACAGCTACTACACACAATCTCCCTTTCTGCAGAACACTTTCGCACCGGAGGTGAGCACAGCCTAAGAACAAAGGAGAGCTTATAAACGTTTGACTGGCAGAGTAGATTAGTAAACGAGGTTAGACATTTGGTGGGCAAGGTGAATGCCTCCAAGACTTCAAACACTCTCCGACCAGCCTTCCAACCAGACTACGGCACAGTTGAATGAACTGCAGTCAAAACAAACACTTCTGTGTATGAACGGTGTTCAAGTCTCCTCGAGCACCGGCCACTCAGATACCAGAGCTATCAAATCGGATCTAAGGGGGTGGGGTGGGGGGGCAGTGCAGTGGCGGATTTACAGCTTTCTTATACACCTTCACAAAGAAATAAAATATCACACTTCGGAGTAAATTCATTTCAGGGTTTCCGCAGTGATTACATTGTCTCTTCTCCTGCCTTCTGCAATAACATGAAATGAATTCTTTGGCCGGCTAAGAAAATATCAAATTTGTAATGATGTCGACACAACTTTCTTGCGTGTACCAAAGACGTGATTCTGCCTTTCGTAACGAATAATTACATTTGTCAATTTTGTAGTTAGTTAACAACAAACCTTCAAAGTTAATAGACTGTTAAGTACTTTGATGGAGAATACAAACTTTGCTTTCACACGAATAAAATATTGTCATCGTAAGGAAAGTCTTCTGAAACACAGAACGCTGTAATGGACTAAACATTCTCAAAGAAAATTATCAGCATGTGAATATGTGGTATATATATATATATATATATATATATATACACACACACTACTGGAACTGATCACTTAATGTCTTCCATTTGTGTACTTATTACCATACCAATAAGTTCAGAAAACACAAACCTTTCTTCACAAGGAAAGTGTTATAATGCAAATTTTCGTTAACAGCTAATGTTAGTGCTTGGTTAGAGTTCTCCTCGTCTTTATTCCAGTATTCAGTGTTGCAGTGCAAGCCTACTGGATGACAAGAACAAACTCACTCATTTTTACGAAAGAAATTACTGGTTAATTTATTCCATCTGATGATTAATGAACATAAATAGAAAACTTGTTTCTCATGCACTGAAACCAATATCTTTGCTTACCAATAAGTTATACAGGGTGATAACATACAGACTGTGGACTCAATCAAGCGCGCGCAAGCTCTAGATAGCCCACGTGACTTGTATGTCACGTGACTGTACGACTCTTAATCACCAACTTTCCTTCAAAAAGTGTGCCGCGCTCTAACCATACGTTCACCATAAGAAATTGTATTTGTTTTCACGGGAGTAAAGAACACTTGACTCATTATGTATAACGACAGGGTTCAGAAATTATTAAAATTCTGTGAATTTATAAGGAAAGGCCAGCCTCCATTATGGCACAGCGATGGACAACCGGAAACGTTGAAAAAGTTGCAATCATATTTTAAATTCTGCGACGTACTAGGGCAGCTTGTTTTTCCTGTTCAATTCCCAGTACAATGCATCTTCGGAATATTATTTTTAAAGCAGCTGTCTGGCAGACTACGTACTTTTGTTACGCAATTTTGTCTTCAGTTATCCACGTGTCTTCTGACACATTACAAGTTTATACACATTTCAAGTTTGTGGGTTAACTTTACTCTTTCACGCCCAAACGCGTCTAAATATTATTTACAAAATTCAGTCCGTACGTCAAAGAAAACACAACGCGTCTCTATTACGAAGATCACTTGGTTAATACGGGTTAGGAAATACGAACAACACAGACTTGGGTATGAAAGTATTTGCCAATTAGAAGCAGAGCATTCATGTCAACCGTGTTAGCCCGGCTAACACTTAAAATAATTTAAATATAAAAAGTCTACTTTCGTGGCTCAGTGGTACTCCATAAATTGGAAACTACCAGACTAAATGCACCGTTAGCCAGGTAGTTCAGGCTAACGCTTGTGTGCTAGCACTTAAGTACCTGCACGTGTCTAACGATGCATTTTTACGATACATCCTCTGTCATGAGTATGCTACTGAGAAACATCGCATGATTAGTATGGGTTGGTAAATGCAAGGCGAAGAAACATGTCATAAATGCCACAACTACGTCACGACTTAAGATTTATGCGGACGGACGCACGTTAGGGAATGCGTTCTCTGTGCGAGGCCTATCCTTTTTAATTCAAGTCGAACACTTCTTTGTA